AATTTATATGAAAAAATAATATAAAATTTACAAGCATAATAAATATCTCATCATATGTCCTATTTAGGATTTTCTAACACAAAAGTAGGCATAGCTTTAACTTAGGTTTAGACCCTTAAGGTTTATTTATATGCTAGGTTCCAAAGATTGATAGTCTAAAGGTTCCCAAATTGTTGCTTACATCATTGTTCATTATAAACTAGTAAAATACCCCAATCCTTACCCATTATAGGCTACTAACAAAAAAGGTTTAATTTAAGTATGAGTGTTTTGTTAGCTCATATAGAGACATAAAATCTTATAATAGCGTAGATACTTTATTCTTTATTAAGGGACAGAACTCGGGTATAAAGCTTATATTATGCATATGCAAATGAATGAAAAATATGAAAAAATAATAAAAAAATAAAATACAAACAAAAAGAGAAATTCTTAAATTTATTAAGTTAGACTTAGATAACAAGAAATTATTTACTGCCTGACTCTTGACGTCTCTAGTGGAGTTGCCAAATTATCATAACGTATAGATCTGTGACCTATTGCTAGACATAAACTTTAAGAGTTACCACCAATCTTTTTTGTTTATATGTGATTTGTCACCTAACTGAATCTGTCTCATTTTAAAGATAAGTCTCAAACTTGATTCGGGTATCTTTAAAAAGTAGATTCTAGTTTATGAAATCATATCTTAGTTTTGAGAGTGCACTTACACATAAAGAAGGTTATAGCACCCTCATAATACACATCCAAAATATGATACTAGTTTGATTTCAAACTATTCGAGCTATAAAGTCTTTTTGTAATTTTATCAAATAATTTAATTATTAAAAATTGATCTTAAAATTATTTCAATAGTTTAATAGCAGTTTAAGATAATTTTTTTACCTCAAGAGTATTCATAGAAACTAGTTTTTCACTCTGAAGAAGCTTCGTCATTGGATTCATTTAATTATTTTATTGTAAAAAAAATTTTTTATTTGTGAAAATAATTTATTTTCAAAAATATCTTTCAATATATTGGTAAGATTTTTTATCAAAAATTATTCTCCAATATGTTGGTAGGATTTTAAAAATATATTTTTTCAAGAAAATTTATTAGGTCCTCTAATAATTTGGTATGATTGAAAATTATTTTTTTAAAACTCTTTTTTAAATTTGAAAGAGAAAAAAAATCAATTAAAATAGACAAAAATTATCATGCAAATAATGTCATGCAATAATATAATATCTCATACAATAATCATGCAATAATATAATATATCATATAACAAATCATGCAATAAAATATCATGCAAAATATAAAATATCATGCAAATATTAATTAATCATACAAATATAAAATAATATATAATCACACAAATAAATATAATAAGCATGCAATATATTAATAATCATGCAATCAAATTAAATATAATCATATCATGCAATAAATATAAAATCATATCATGCAACTAATATAAAATCATGCAATATATATATATATATATTATAGTTAATATTAAAGGTTTTTTCTTTTTCCTCATCTTAATCAACTCAACTACATTTAAAATAAATATATAAAAAATAAAAATAAAAATAAAAAACAAAAACAAAAATAAAAAGAAAAAGAGAAACCAAATGGTGTCGTATCACCGAGTTCACGCATGGATCTACACGGGCTGGGACTTGGGTCAGGCTTTGCAAAACAATGTCACCTTGGGTATAAATGCCAAATTTCTACTTCTGTCTTCAAATCAATTTTATCACTCTCTCTCTAAAAGATTTTCTCTCTTTCTTTTCTCTAGAAATTTAACAAAAATTTCAACGGACAACCTAAATTCCCAGATTTCAGCTCCAGGATATTCCACTGGTGCCAGAACCTTCAAACTTTTCAAAAAAACCAATAAATCCCAGAAAACAGCCATGTAAACCATTACAGCTACCGTGAAAACCACTGGAAAACTCAAACACCAAAACGAAAAATTCAATCAAAAACCCAAATATTCAAATATTCAAATGAAAAACCCCAAAATATCTAGATAAACACAAAAATTCAAATCCAAGCCATAACTTAACCAAAAAATTCCCAGAAGTATTCCCAGAATTCTAAAAAATTCAAAATACAAATTCAAATTAAATAAAAAAAAAAAACTAAGAATCAAAACATTAATTCTCAAAAACTCCAAAATCTTTCAGAGATCAACCTAATTTAAAACTAACCTAGAACTTGAACTCCATAAATTAAAACCAAAATTTCAAAAACTAAAAACACCAAATCCAAAAAAAATTTAAACTTTTAAATTGCTGGAATTTGCTTCTGACTTTGTTTATTACCCTTTGTTTTCTTGCCAATTCCCCCTTTGATCACAAATTCCAGCCCTTAATATAGGGTTCCAAGCTATTTCAATTTGAAAAACAATCCCACTAAATCTGTGATTTTGTGATTTTTCTTTAATTTGATTTCTGTGAATTAATTTTTTGTGGTTTGATTTTGAAGGATTTAAGCCCCCAAACTTTCCATAAGTGCATTGGTCATTAAGCTCAAATGATCAAATCCAGGATCAATATCTCGATGAAAATTTCCACGTATTTGGTTTTCTGATTTTTTTTTTTTTTTACTTTTTTAACCTTGAACTTTAAAAATAATAAAACTAAAATTAAAAGCCAAAATCAAAACTAAAACTAAAACTAAAATCGAATTAAAATCAAAATTAAAATTAAAACCAAAATTAAAATTTTTTTACTTTTAGTTCTTTGGGTCCAAAATTTTGTAATCAGTACGATCAAAGGCCCATTTTTTATTTTGAAAAATTTTCCAAACAAAACGGGGTATGATGATCTCTCAAAACCATCACCAGGAGAAGATGTTTTCCTCCTTGTAATTTCTGCTGAAAGATGTATGTTGCCTCATTCATCCAATGAACGCACTGATGATCCTGTAAAAAAATACATCAGCCCACATGCAAATTATTGAAGCTATTCTGGAGAAGAACGATGGTAACTCTTTCCAAGTGAAAGTGATAGGGCAGATATTATGGATCGATGGAGTTCGCTATGAACTATGTGAAATATATGAAATAGGAAGCTCAGCAGTAGCAGAAGGCTTTGATGATAGTGACCCAGCGAAAGAGTGTGTAACATATATGTTTTTTCTTGTATTTTTATTTAATAGAATTCATAAATAATTTTGTAAAATATTTTATATTCTTTTATAAATAAAATGAAGCATTTTGTTTATTTATTTTTTTTCTATTTATGTATAATTAGTATTCATGTAATTACTTTAAAAATAAAATTAAAAAACTAAAATAAAATGACAAATACTATAAATAAAATATATTAAACATAATTGAAAAATAAGTATTACCAATGGCTTTTTACCGACATATGATTGACACTTTTATCGACAAATTTTATTGATGGATTATCAATCAAATTACCAACGAAAAATTTTATCAATAATTACTGATAGATTTTACACATTATCGATAGAATAGTATTACCAACTTGTTTATCACCTACAGAAAATTTTATCTGTAAATTCCATAGATAATAATATTGTTGACGGAAAACATATTATTACCGATGAAATTTTTCATCGATGATAGTAATATTTTTTAAGATATATTTTTAAAAGATTAAAAGTTAATATATAATATAAAAATCTATAATAATTTTTATACCATTTGTAGAGTTAAAAACTAAAGGGACACTATGTGAAAATAATCGTTTTTGTTATATTTTTCTAACATGTTTGCACTTCTTAATCTATAACATCTATTGGATATAAATAAATATTGAAAGAATTAATTGATTGTAATAAACAATATAAAAATTTAAATAATTTTTTAATTATAATTCAATAACTTCCTATTCCTTTAACTTATATAGGTACGTGAAATTCTCCTATAATACCATTATTAAGTTAAGACAACTACATTTTTTGCTTGTCACTTGGATCACAGAGCAAGACAAGTGGCAAACTTTATTAAGAAATTTTATTTTTTTGCCAATTCATCTTTCTTGGGTAATGCCAAAAATAAATTTTGTTGAATAACAATTTAGTTGAATATTAAAATGCAAAAAAACTAAAGAATAATAATAATATTATTTAACATTATAGTTATTTTTATTTTTATTTTTATTTTCCATTTGGTTTTTAATTTTATGTTTCATCTTTTTTTATGTATAAATTTTGTAAAAAATATGTATTTGTTACATGAATTAAATTTATCAAATTATTTTTAAAAAGGTATAAGAATAGAAATTCGTAAAATAATTCATAGAATAAATTAAATTATTATTTTAAAATTAATCCTAAATTAATATTTTAAATAATTATCATGATTTTGTTATTGATATTAATTATCATCTTTTTAATATTATTGTTATTATTATTTATAACATTATTCAATTTAAGAGTTTCTTATAAATAATTCTTAAAAAAAGAAAATCCCATACATCGGTGGTCATCATTCTAGTGTAATTTGAAAGCTGGATAAGTCAAAATTATGTTAATAATACTACTATTTAATTATAATCTCCAAAACCAATGGTTGGAAACTTTCAACAGTGGCCTGGATTTACAAGAAAATTTCCCTCCTCCACCGTCCTAACAGAACTCTGAATCTCATATTTTTTGGCTATCCTTTTCAAAGGACTCCTAAACAAATGTCCACTCAATTCTCCCTCTTTTTCTCCGAGAACTCTAAGGAAAAACTTTCTTTTTTTTTCTTTTTTATTTTGGTTCTTTCCAAAAGCATGGGTCCTCATGATCTCTTCTTGTTTTCCCTGCTTGCAAAACCGCCTGCTCCTATGAGGGGTCCTTCAATATCTTGAAGGCTCCCCCTCAGCTCCTGCGCAAGCTTAATTTGTCTCCCTGAATTTTCCCCGGGCTTTTGATTTCTCGAGTACCCTAGCACGAGGCGCCATCAACTACAGCATTGTTCATCGTTTGTTGGTGTTTCGAAGCCATTTTTATTGCTTTTTGGTGAATTAATTCTGGTTCTTATTATCGCAAAATGAGTTGCTTCCCATGTTTCTCGTCACCAAAAAGCAAGAAGGAAAGCAGCAAAAGGGAGAATGACTCTTCCTTTAAGGAGCCTATTCAATCAACAGTACCTGGTATGCCCTTTGCTTTTTCTTTTCTGTTTTTTCCCCAACCTTGGATCCTATTTCTCTTAAAGATCCTAATGAGAAAGTACCTTAATTCCTTATTTGATATTAATTGAATTTGAAATTTAACTCAAATTATTGATGTAATTATTTTTAAAATGTGACGTATCATTATCTTAATTCCTTTTTTATTTAATGTATGTTGATAGGAACTCGACCAAGACCGTCTAACACTGTCGAGTTAGGTTAAATATGCATTAATCAAGCAAAATTTTTTGTTTTTATATTTAAGATTAACATAATATAAATCTTAATTATTAAAATTAAAATTCAATACTTTCTTAATAATCACGTGACTGGAGACTAAGTATAAGATTTATTTTATCATTTGAGATCAAATTTGTAGGTTCATGGAGAGGCTGTTCCAAATCAAATATTCACATCACGACAAAGGTGGCTCTAAAATTTTATGGCTGTTTTCAAACAGAAAAATAGTTCACTTTGATTAGACAATATGAAGTAATTAGTTCTCTTTTTCTTCATTATTTCATGCTAATCTCCAAATCCAAAATCTCAATTTTTTCCAAAGAAAAAATTATCCTATGTAAGTTATGCAATATCATTAAAAATATGAGTAATAAGTATATTGAATTGTATTATAGATCCATTCTGCATAATTTCCATAAGGAAATAATGGCCTAAGTTCTTAGATTGTGCTGATATAGTTTGGATATAGTTTGCTACTCTAACAATCACGGTTTTTATGGTAAAATATAATATTAGATTTTTAATTTCAATAATTGAAGTTTAAATTTTATCAACCTCAAATATTAAAAAATATATATTATTCACTATATATATTCTAAAAGTAGATTAATTATAGGATAACTCAACGTTTTAATTTTAAAAAAAAAAAGGGGATTTGAACGTATATAAGCATTTATAATTCGAAGTTACCCTTTTAGAATAGTGAATTATATGCACCTATAATTAATCAAATGCTTAAATATCCCAAACGTTGTTGCTTTTTTCTATTTTTTTTCTTCTTTTTGTTGGATGAAGAAACTAAGGAACAAAATCCTGATACAGAAAATACCGAGGCGTCTTCGAACCAAGCTGAACATGGAAACAATGCGGCTCAAACATTCAATTTCCGTGAGCTAGCCGCCGCAACAAAGAATTTTCGTCAAGAATGTTTGTTGGGTGAAGGTAGTTTCGGAAGAGTTTACAAGGGGACTCTTCAGGCTACCGGTCAGGTGCTCTTTACCTCCTACACCTTTTTTATGGCTCTTTCTATGTTTCTTTGCTTCTTTCTCTTAAGCAAAAAAAAAAAAAAAAAATGCTGATTGGATCAAAATCTGGACACTGACAAAGTAAGTCCAGAAACTCACCTCGGAATTTAATTTTTATATGATTAAAATCACCGACTCTTTTATTTGTAAATTGTAAAATTGTTTATTCCTAAATACCCTTCATTGGAATTTGGAAATAGGTGGTTGCTGTGAAACAACTTGACAGGAATGCAATGGATGGAAACAAGGAGTTTCTTGCGGAAATTGGACAACTTAGTCTCTTACAGCATCCAAATCTGGTTAATCTCATTGGATATTGTGCTGATGGAGATCAGAGGCTTTTGGTTTATGAATTCATGTCAGGGGGTTCCGTAGAAGATCATCTACTTGGTATATACAAACTTTTTTTTCTGTCTGTTCTTTTTTTTTTTATATACCTAGGTTGTCAAAACTTGAACTGTGGTCACTAGAACTAAAAACTCGTAACTCTAGTAAGTTGTTGGGCTTTGTTCATTTTCAGTAAATTGTTTTACGAATTATATGGTAATTTTTATATCTTTGTGCTTAAAAATTAACATGGTAAATGTGAAAGTGAAAGAAAATTTTAATATTTGTATAGTGTAATTGCAGATATGAAGGCTGGTGGAAAGCCATTAGATTGGATAACCCGAATGAAAATAGCTTATGGGACAGCTCAAGGTCTAGAGTATTTGCATGAAAAGGCCAATCCTCCTGCGATATGTCGTGATCTCAAGTCCTCAAACGTTTTGTTGGACGAACAATTCAATGCAAAACTGTCTGATATTGGACTGGACAAGCTTAGGCCTTCAGCTGACAAGATGCCTATGCAGTCAAGTGTGATGGGTACTTATGGCTACATTGCTCCAGAGTATTCAAGATCAGGTAAACTCACAACTGTTGCAGATGTCTACAGTTTTGGAGTTGTTCTACTGGAGCTTATCACTGGAAGAAGGGCCATTGACACTACCAAACCTGTCAACGAGCAAAACTTAGTTGCTTGGGTAAGTGTGATTTTTTTTTTTTTTGTAGAAGAAAGGAAGTGATGGCTTTCCAATATTTTGTGCCATTAAATTAGGAAAAGAATTAACCACTTGGTATCACCCTATGTTGGAACAGGCACAACCAATATTCAGGGAACCAAAAATGTATCCAGATATGGCAGATCCTTTACTTAAGAAGCGATTTCCGGAAAGGGGTTTGAATCAAGCTGTTGCAATAGCTGCTATGTGTTTGCAAGATGAAGCTTCAGCCCGTCCTTTGATGAGTGATTTAGTGATAGCCCTCAGTTTCCTTTCTACTGCCACAGAAGAGAAAAGCATTCCTCCCACTCTTCCTGCTTCCATCTCATCCAAGTTGCATTGCATCTCAACTAAGCTGCAATTCTTGGATGGTGGTGATGCTGGGAAGCTGAAGAAACAGGACAGCTCTGTTCATGATGCTGATACACATAGTGAATCAGATGATGACCACAGTGATAAGGGAAGTGTTTCTTCGAGCCGCAGTAGCTGTATGAATACACATGAAGAAAATGCTTTCAGCCAAAATATTGCGACATCACTGTTTTCATTAGGCCATGCTTCTTCCATGGAAGAAAGTAGTGCACATGATGAGCGTAGTCATGCAAGTCAAAAGGGCAGCAGGAAATCAACTGATGGAAGTACTGTTTCCGTGAGTCGTGAGAGCAGCTTGAAATCACAGGACGGGAATGATTCTTCAGGCCATAACAGCAGCAGGAAATTAACTGATGGAAATGTTTCATTGAGTCGTAAGAGTAGCAAAAAATCCAATGACGGAAGTGTCTCTTCACGCCATAGAACTAGCAGCAAAAAACCACCGGATGGAAGTACTTCTTTAAGCCGTAAGAGCAGCAGGAAATTGCAGCAGGGAAATCACAGTAGCAGCAGGGCCTCAAATGATGAAAGCAATTCTTCAGGCTCCAGCAAAAAGAGCCGGCGGAAATCTAAGAAGGCGATTAATGAATCACTTAGCCGCAGCAGCAGTAACGGAGGATCACAGGGCTAAAAGCCAATTACACCATGGGAATGTCCGACCACATCCAGGAACCTTCACAAAGACTAACACAACTACCCTTTTTTGAGCAAAATATATATATATTTATGTTGGTAGGGAGTCAAATGGGTACGTTTTGGTTGACAGAAGCCATTTATGCCACCCACCAACTTGGGTGACTTTGTCTTCTCTTTATTGTTTTTTTGTCTGTGTAAGTTCATTGTCTCTTTTATCTGTTTATCTAAAAATATCAATTTCCTGAAGTTCTACAAATAATAATTGACTTAAATGTCTTTAAAAGTTATCTAATTAACAATTCTATTCCTATCAGAATATAATCCTACTGATTTTTTTTTTTGTCACAGTAATAAAACTTAGACTTGTAATTTTAAATATGATGTAATAACACAATATACAAATGATAATAAAAATAATAAGGTGAAAATTATATATAAATTTTGAAAAATTACATTTCATTTTTAAGTTTGTCAATACAATTTTAACATGATATTATTTGTATCTTACATGTATTTGACATTTTAAATATGTATAAAATATAAAAAATACGTTTAAATGAAATCACACAAATATATCTATAAGATATGTGAAACTCGTTTAACATATTTTTTATATTTATTTTAATTTAATATAAATATATAAAAATTATTTTAAACTTTTAGTTATAATACATAACAGGGAGGGATTCAAGATGGGGTAGTTCCTCTCTCGAGATGTTTTCAATATTTATATTTGTCTCATCCCGTTTTGTTGACATTAATTTTTTTAATTGAATGATCAACATAAAAAATTATATAACATACTTGTGTATATTAATAGTTATAAATTTTGAAAAAAAAAAAAAGAATAATGCATTTTAATTTACACAATAATTTTTAATTATCATTATATTAAATAAAACAACCTTCAAATGATAAATTAAAAATTTTCAATTCTAAAATAATAGTTTTGATTTCTCAAATTTAACCTAAATATTTGACATTATTAGATTAAAAAAAAAATCTCTCTTTATGTATAAAGGATATTTAAAAGCAAAGTGATAATATTTTCAAGGTTTAATCATATCATTTGGACCTAATTGGTGTGAAAGCCATGGGAAGCCAGTAATAAGAACCATACCTTGGGTTTGAGGGAGGGTGGGGGTAGGGTTAAGGAAAAAAAACACTCCTTCATATATCTTAAATTCTTTGCTTTTGCCTTTGTATATGTAACTTTTTATGATATTTTTATGGTCTTGAATAATAATTTTATATCCAAGCGAATTCCCACGATAGCTAGTAGTTTGATTTGGGTTGAAATTGGATTTTATTACTTCTCAAGCAGTTAATACTATAAATACATATTCAAATTCACGTCCTCTTTCACTTTCAAGTACTGTTTTGTCACCTTTATTAGATAATATAAGTTTCCTTATAAGTTAATTCTTACATCTCCATTGTTAGCTTTGTTTCCAATTCAACCATGAAGAAATCTCATTCATTCAAGCTTTTGTTCTTCGAGTTTTTCCTCGTTCTAAACATCAAACAATCCCAGCAACAGCTTCCTAATCATGAGGGTGATGTTAGCTCAAAGAATTACCACCAAATCAACCTCACTCATGTCACAGGACCTGAAAGCAACGCCTTCGATTGCAAAGGAGAAGGAGCATATGTTGGTGTATCTGATGGTAGAATATTCAAATGGCAAGGACCAAATCTTGGTTGGAAAGAGTTTGCTATACCTTCACCAATCAGGTATATATAGTAAATTTCTTTAATTGTTAGTCTTTTTTTTTTTTTTTTGCGCAGTTTTATTTCTATCTGCTAAAATAATGGTCAATTTCTTCATCAAAATCTTTCGATCAAATATAGAGGTTATAATAACCAAATACCGATTGATTAGTTATTGGTTTCTTTGTTGGATATTAGGAATAGGAAGCTCTGTGATGGTTCAGCAAATCCCAACCTTGAACCAATATGTGGAAGGCCATTGGGTCTGAAATTCAACAAAGCAACATGTGATCTCTACATTGCAGATGCTTACTTCGGCCTCCTAGCGGTCGGACCTAATGGTGGCATGGCTCAAACACTTGCTACTTCAGCTGAAGGAATCCCATTTAGATTTACAAATGGTTTAGATATTGATATCAATACCAGAGTTGTCTATTTTACAGATAGTAGCCTTATCTTCCAAAGAAGGTACCTCTCTTTTTCTTTTTCTCATATTCTTCCTTATTTATGAATTTCCCGCCCTCAATTTTTTTTTTATAAATTATATTGATGAAAAATTTACAAAAAAAAATTAAAATGAATAATAAGAGAGGACTAGTGAGCAATTACATAGGTCTATATATTTTTTTAGGTTCTATTATATAGCCGTATGGAGGGTTTAATTACAATAAATATTTTAGCTAGGTTCTATTTTTCTCCAAGGACTAAGCTGAAGTTCTTTACATTACAAGAAATTAAAATTACAAAGGTTTTTACAATCACATGGGATGGAAATTCACCAATTAGGAATTTACTGTATGGAGGGCTTTACTTGCATTATTATTCATAATGAGGGAGAGACAGACAAAATCAAAGCCTTGGAAAACATTTTTCGATGAAACTAATCTGGGAAAATCAGATCTTCGGAGAAGTACTCTTATATCCTCACATACCATTTTATGTTCTAATTTGTGATTTATGAATTTATTCCCGAATATCCAAATCGGCTAGAAAAAGGAAACAAATTAAACAAACAACTTTCTTGTCCTTATTGAAACAATTGTACTCAAACTGCCCTACTTTTTATTTTTTTTTGAAATTTTTTTATTATAAATTCATAAATAAAATGTATATTGATATTATTAAATAAATTTATTTTAGTCACATTTACAAAGATAAATTGTTCGGACAAAAACCTTTTTTTTTTTTTTTTTTGGTTTCAAGGGAGGGGCAAAGCTCTATTACAAGAGGGAAGGGGAAAGGTTTGGTTCAAAATCAAGCTATTATGTCTTCCTAAAGGCTTCTGTGACCACTAAGGCATGAAGCGGAAAACTCAATTCTTTTCTGTAGATTTATATAAAAATTACTTTCAAATCAATTACAATTTATATCAAATAATTAAAAAAGAAACTAATTATTTTTATGATTATGTAGGTATGCTGATTCCTTAATATGATCAACCAATTATAGAAGTGGAAGATTGATTAAATATGATCTTTCCACTAAAAAAGTACATGTACTACACAAGGGACTAAGGTTTCCTAATGGTGTTGCTCTAAGCAAAAATAGCTCCTTCCTTCTACTGGCAGAATCCATTAGCAGGAGAATTTTGAAGTTCAAGCTTGATGCTGAGGCAAATAGTTATGTGCCAGAAGTGTTTGCCCAGCTACCCAGAGTCCCTGATAATATAAAAAGGAATGAAAGGGAAGAATTTTGGGTAGCTCTTAACACTGGAAGGTTATGGAGCATTCAAAACGATGCCCCTGATCCTATTGGGATTAAATATGACCAAGAAGGAAATGTTGTGAAACAATTGGATGGATATGGTGGAATTACATTCGACTCCATTGGTGAAATTAATGAGTTTAATGAAACATTGTACATTAGTTTAGTAACCAAGCCTTATATTGGCGTCTTAAACGCCTAGAATTTTTAATTTTTTTATTCCACCTTTTCATATAGTTTAGGATTAGTATAAGACAATGTACTTTTAACTATTATATTTTACCTTTAATTAGTAAATTTAATCATATTATTTTCTTTATTTTTATTGTAAATTTTTTTTTTACCTTCTAATAAAACGAAAAGTATTGAAGAAAAAAAAACAAGTCGTTAAAGAAAATATTATTCGTGTTTTTAATATTGAGAAGATCGAATTATACAATATATTTTGTCATTTTTAAATATGTATTTGTATATATGGTTGATCAAAACAAATTTGTGTTTGCATTGCAATGTACCTAATTATTTGTTTTGAATTACTTTAATAGTGTCGTGGAATTTCCTTTCCAACTTTTTTTATTATGAGATTCACAATTGAGTTAAATTTTCAGATGAGTATTTAGAACCTTTTCTCGAGTAATTGGATGATAACGCATTTGAAGCAGTAGCGGGAGATCTTTATCATATAAATTTTTCTTCAAGGGTTTTTTTTTTTTTTTTTGGTTGCAGTGCGTTTGCCATGTGCTTTTAAGCTTATCCAACCCACCAACAATTTGAGCAGTGATTGACATGTGAAGGATGCTACTTTTTGCACCTTCTGTTCCCTGCATGTGCTTCAAAATCAACCCAAAACCATAGCTTTTCCCTTGGATTAATTAGCAAAGAAGATAAACACATAACGCAAGAATTTACATAAATTTTCTAACAGGAAAAGGCTTGTTGCACTTAAAAAAATAAAAAATAAAACAACAAATCCCATCAATGAGTTTGGTTTTAGTAAAAGAATATAACTTCTCTCCTTAAATCCCATTTAATTTCATGTTATGGTTGCCTATGTTTCTGCCTATCCATTGAGTGTTTCCCACTGCCTCTGCAATAATTATATTTGCCAACGCAATGTGGTTGGACATGCCAGAAGAGCTAGCCTGGCCAACTATACAGCTTCAATGGCATCAACCATCTCATGGTCCCACTGAAGACAACATCTCCCAATTTTTGAAACCAATACTACTATATAATTCTATCAGATTGTCCCACATAGATTGGATCACCAATTTCATCTTTAAAAAAAATATATTTCGTATTTGCTTATAGTATGCCCAAATTTTTGTAGAGCTTATCCAGACAAGAGTTCCCCATATTTTTCCATTATAAAATCTTATATCCTCCCGAAAGATTGAAAAAAAAAAAAAAAAGAACACTTGTTTCCTCTCTTTTATCAGTGTTGTTGTCTGTGATATTTATTGAACCATGCATTAAACTCCCTTTGTCGATGTAGAAAAGTATGTTTTTGAGATCGTCTAAAGAAAAATAAATTCAAACAAAATTTAAAAATTTTTTTGGTGTCACATGTTTTTTAGCGTATATTTAAAAAATAAAATATTAATTTCATAAAAAATAAGACACATATTATAGTTCTAATCGTATTTATGAAATTAAAAAATTTCACAATCAATGCATCAAATAATTTCTCTTAATATTTGGAGAAGTTGTTAAGCCAGTTTCTTAGTTCATACTTCATTTGGGAAAAGGATTTAATTCCTTGCACAAAATGTATATACGTATATATATATCACAAATATAACCTTTGGACCTTGATCATTCTTTCATATGTAGGACTTATTTTAATTAATGATCATTTTTGTATATAGTTGTACATATAATATTATTATATATATTTATATATGTGGCGTCACAAGGATGATTCTAATTGATTTAAGTATAAAAGATCTTGAATTAAAATAAAATAATTATCAAAATTTTTAATTATTTTATTATAATCAATTAAATTTTTAAATATTTATTTTTATTAATTGAGCTCTTATTATACGAAAATTGATTAACTAGCAACTCTTATTTTCATCAAATTAAAAGGTTAATTGGATGAAAATATGTATTTAATGTCTCAATTGATTGCAATAAAATGTTAAAAATTTTCATAATTATTTAATTTTTGTTTACTAGCTTTTACATTTAAACCAATATAATTTCATTAATTATTTTCTTTGATAATGAATTTATCAAGACATGCTATTTGCTACAATTATTATTTGCTATAATATTTTTTTTTGTTTTGGGATATAAAATAAAACGGAATATATATATATATATGTATGTATAGATAGATAAATAGATATATTTATATTTAAATGCTAAATGAAAACACTATTTTAAAAACAATGAAAAAGTAAAATAAAAAAAAAATTACTCTGGTAAAAAGGTTTCATCAATAACAAAATGCATAATATGGAACAAAGATTTTGAGCTAATGTTTAACTACTTTCTAAAAAGGCTAAGCTGGATTGGAGGTTTCAAAATAAAAGATTTCATATTTGGTAACCGACGAACTAAACCTAATGTCCTAATTCATTTTTACACTAAATTGAATACTTCGAATACAAATGTAATAATAATAATAATAATAATAATAATAATAATAATAATAATATGTCATTCACTTTTAAACTCCACCAAAAATATTACCGGATGAACATGTAATTTATTAAGATATATTTAAAATAACTAGATAAATTAAAACAACACGTAATGATATTTTAATTTCTCTTTTGGAGACTAAATACCTCAATCAAGAATTATAGAATAATAAACACTCCAATTCTAGTCATAGAATAGTAATCCAATAATAAACATTTTATGCACATTAATTTTTAAAAATAAATAAATAAATAAATAAAGATCACGTCTCAAACAGTAATTTGTGAAAATACCATAGAATCAGTCATTTATTAAAAATCTGAAAACTCACAGTGAGTAGACATTTTGGAAAATATTTAGATGTTGAATAATAAATTTTAAAAAATTCAACAATGAAAAATTAAGTATTGAATTGTTACAATAATAATAAAAAAAAAACGTTTTGTATTCTACTAAAAATTAAATATTGAATAGATTTTTTTAAATTTTTATTTAAATATCTTCCATTAGTTAAAGATATAAAAGAAAATTAAAACCAGAAAATATAAGGTTAATGTAATTAAATGATAATTTTTTGGATAATATTAAAAAAAAACTTCGATCTTCACTAAAAAAAGAATATTAGTTAATGATGTATTACTAGTTGTTGTAACTAATATGTGAGTAGTAAATACAAAAGAAAAGGAATGTGTTCCTCCTGTGACTCCACTTACTACATAAGTAATACATGGGTTTTAGCCAATCGACAGCCTTTGCTCAGACAATGAAATCAAAATACAAGATTCCACAAAAATAAAGCCACTAAAAGTGTAAACGAACAGAAGGTTACAAATGGGCGATTTAAGAGGATATATAGAGTTCACAGTTGCTCTTACATAATAGAAAACACTGTCGCAAAGAATTAAAATGTAATAGAGGATTTGCAAACAAAAGCTAACAAATTGCTAGCTCATGTTAAGGAAAAATAAAGCCAATATTAACCTTGAAAGCAACCTATGCATTCTTGATAGATCAAGGAAAGCATGAACTCTCAGTAAAAATATCCCAACCTGCACATTTAACAAAATTCTTCAATGCATACCGATCAATTACATTTAGTCTTCTTATTATGCATTTAGTCGAGATTAATTAGATTGGAAATGATCATTATTTCAATTTCACTACCCTGGCACAATTTATGCCATCACATGATAACTGCAATCATTTTGATGAATATCAACATATGTTCACCCAAAAAAAAAAGTACTAGTACAGGCATATTGTCTTGTTGGACTTTGAATCCCTCATGTATATGGCAAGTTAGCAATACGCATTTCATTAATGACAAAGAATTTGTGCATTAATATTGAGATGTCAAGCATGTTGCTCATATGTAACATAGGAATTAGAATAAAAATGGATGACTCATTGCTTGTGCATGATTTTAGTGGAAGTGTAATGTTTGGGACTGAGACCATTAAAACTTATAGAAAAGAAACTTGAATGATCTACCATCATCCATTCAAGTCAGAAGGCATTAGGCAAGGTAGCTGACATAAAATTATTAAACCAACTATTTTGTGGCTCTAGATAATGAATAATACTGTGGAGAAAACATTCAATTTACCATTGATGTCCTCTTGATCTCTAGAACCAGTTTACATGCATGTACCTACTGTTCACCTTAAAACCATTTTTTTTTTTTAGTTCCTGTACAACCTCAAAGCTATTTTGAAACCCAAATTATCATCCGCAAGGACTTTATTGCAAGAAGACAATACCTGTACTTGTAATTTGCAATTTGCACCAAAAATAAATAATAAGTTGCAAAGTAATCAATTATTCTGATTGCATTAAACAGGTAGCGAAGGGGAAGCTTACTAATCTTTAAGAACATTCTTCCAATGTTTGTCCACCGATATTATTTCCCCTTGCTATAAATGTATTGTGTAATGAAGTTAAATGTAGCAAGCTATTCTACTTATGAATGAGCTTGAGAAACTTCACCTTTCTCACCAATTTGGGTCTCTTCTACAAAAATTCTGGCAGATGTTTCCATCTTCAATCCCTGCATGTCTAGTTCAGGGATAATTGGAGGCATCATTCTTCGTGTAACTGTCATCTTCAGCCCCTCTGTTGTGTGGATAGTTGCTCCAGTAGTCATCTCAACCTACGTATGGATTTGATTGATTTTTAAGGTATATCTATTTTCCTTTTTCAATTACTATGATATTATGTGTCATCACAATTATGCTAAACTCGTGTAGAAGCACATTCAAATAATTATGGAACTCTCAATGGAAAATCAATCACATCTTGGCTAGGTAGTGGTATTTCAACTTCAAAAATTGCTTAGTTCTTTCTACTAAAATGCTTTGATTATATTCAGTTGTGTCTAGATGCAGGTACTCAATAGTTCTTATTCTATTCAGCCAATATTGATTATATTAAAATGTGAATGTCTCAATGTAGTTTAAATGTCATCATCACTGGTAAATGTGCATGAATATTTAGAGTAATCAAAACGATTGATCTAGTCATTCAACTATTTAATGCAGGAGCAACAGAGTCAACATTTGAAGTTCACAGGAACATAAAAGAGGAGGAATTCTGCCAAAAGGACGTTAATTTATTCATGAAAGGAGTAGTTCAGATTTTTTTTCAATTATGGAAGGGTATTTTAATCTTAGCATAAAATCGAAGGGTGCTTCTATTTGCACCCCATAAATGCTCTCCACACATAGACCTGACAATTCGTGTATTCATGTCATGTAAAATACTAATTGTAGACACCTCAATTTGTCTAGGGTTCTACTCAGTCTGGTTTCTGTTAATTAAAAAAAATAAATAATAAAAATGAAAAAAATGATAAAACTTGGGTAAGTTGAGTTTGTGCAAGACTGTGTGAGGAGTTAAAATTGAACTTAAAATCTGAAGTTAAAATTAAAAAAGAATTTAATTCTTTTCAAGTATAGAGTTCTTTTGATCAGAACCCTATAAATACAAATCCAAATCACACACAAATCACACAGATCAAAAAATCAAAAAGACAGATCACAGAAAAGCAAAAAGCAGTCAAAAAAAATATTTTGAAAATTTTTTGGGATTTTAAAAAAAAAATAGATTTTTTTCCTTTTATGAAAAAATCTGAAAAATTTTCAGATTCCGACGACTTTTTTCCGTTTTTGATGAATTTTCCAACGTCGATTGAATTTTTCGATAGATTTTTCAGAATCGGTTGAAGATTCCAGTGACATTTAAATTTTTTGACAAACTTTCAACGAACTATCCCAGATTCTGGCGTGATTTTTCAGAATCCAACGAAGATTCAACTAGAGTTCATTGGGGGTTTAGAATGAGAGGAAGAGAAAAAGAAAATGAGAGAGAGGGAGAAAGAAAGATCTAAGGAAAAGAAAGAGGGTTTTTGATCTTTTATACCTTATAAAAATGACACCGTTTTCACTGTAAGAAGCCCCTAGGATCTGCGTGTTTCCACTTGGGCCAACCTAACCCGAGCGCAACCCGTTCTGTCAACCTGCATCCTAACCAAACCTTTTAGTCGAGTCGAGCTTTTGAGCTAAGTGGTCGAGCGCTTTCTATGCCTAGAACCGGACCTTGCCAAGCCACTTCAATAGAGCCGTTTCTATTTTTTTTTCTATTTTTTTATTATTTTTTTATTTTATTTAGTTATTTATTTATGTGTTTGTTTATTTTTAGAAGTATTTTTACATGAGTAAATTTAAAAAAATAAAATAAAATAAAATATTTTTTGAGAATAAATACTAATTATCTAATGATGAAATTTTTAAAAATTTTAAATGGTAAATTTCGATAAAATTTCTATGTGAGAAATTTTTTTAAAATTTGTCCCAAATTATAAAATAATTTAGATAAAATTTCAATAATAATAATTAATATTTATTTTCAAACAAAAAAAGAGAAAAAAATAATAAGTTAAAATAAAATTTTAGTTGAAAATATTTGATAACTATCCAATGAAATAATAAATTCTTGAGAAATCTCTATGTGAGAAATTTCTTTAAATTTGTCCCAAAATGTGAAAGAATTTAAATGAAATTTCAAGAAAAATAATTATCATATTATTTTCTTTCTAAATAAAAAAATAAAAGAATTTCTAAATTAGCCCAAATGGTAGAGAATTTAAAAATCTAAAAAATATATATTTATAATTTGACCCAAATTACGAAATAATTAGATATAATTTCAATAAACAAAAACTAAAAAAATAAAGCTAACAAAAAACAACTAAATCTTTTTCTGACGACAGAGCCTCTTTAAGAAAACAAATGAGATTTTTGAATACTCTTGAGGTGAGAAAATATTTTTAAGAATTTTACTAAATTGATAGAGAATTTTAAAAGTTATTTCCGATATTCAATATTAGAATTTAAAACTATTAAAGTCAAGACCTTAGATAAATTTAAAATAAAACGATACCATCTTTTGGATGGGTATGTAGAGGTGCTATAACCTTCCCCATGTGTAATCAAACTTTCGAACCCTATTTTAGTTAGTAAACCTGAACTTATTCTTTAAGGAACTCTTAATCTTGACTAAGAGTCATAACATTTAAAATTGATGACGACTCTATTTATTAAGTATAGCTATAGATTTATGGATCTATATGTTATAACAGTTTGATGACTCCACTAGAGATGCTATAAAGAGTCAGGCCATAACATTTTGATTTTATCTTATCATTTGATCTAATGGTTTTGTGTTGTAATTATTTATTTACTAACATTTTTTGTTTTTTGTCTCTTATTTGATTTATGTCGGGTTGACAATTATATGTTTCTTCAAACACACTATCACATGCATTTGCATTACATGAGCTCTATACCCGGGTCCGTCCATCTTAGGAGGAAGTAAAATATATACACTCTCATGAAATAATAATCTCCACAATGGCTAACGAAATACTCTCACTCAAATTGAATTTTTTCCGTTGGTAGCTTGTAATGGTGAAAATTGGAATGCCTTACTAGTCTGTGATGGCAATGATGTAAGAAACAATTTGGAAACCTTTAATGGTCAAAATCACTTAACATTGCATATAATCTACACTTAGGAAACCAACCTTAAGATAGAGCCATTCCTATCCGTTGATAAATGTAATCAGAAGTTAAGACACAAAAAAGAACGGTTAATGATCTAACCATTTTGTTTGTTTGACTTTATACATTTGCATTATCATGTCATGCATCATTTTCATTGTCATATTTAACATTATGCATCTGCATCATTGTCATATTAAATTTCATCCATGAAAATGCATATTCCATTTATGCATCAACATTCCAAACATGAAGCATAGCATTTCTAATAATATATAATTGTGGTACTCAAGGTTCAAAGATAACTCCACCAAGCAAAAACCCTATATAATCAACTCACCGATACAATACAAAAGCTCGAGCCAGACAAATAGAATAAGAAAATTTCAATCATTTCGAGAGGATAGAGAAACCTCAAGAGAAACTTGAAGGGGAGTTGAATAAGATTTTGGATGCTTTGAACAATTTAAATAAAGGGAAAGGGATAAAGGAAAATACTAGCCAGTAGGACCATCAATCACAAGAGGTGACTGATCTTTTGTATCCTCCTGGTTTTAGTCCACAACAAGCCTAGTCCACTCAGGTTACACCACCACAACAGTTCACATACCCTATAAGGTATACATACCCCGAAACACCATTAACTTCGAATTCAGGGCATTACCATAACTATGTGAATCATGTCTTTACTGAAAAGATAATGGAACCAATCCAGGCCCCTAATTTGGACGATCCAAAAGAGAAAAAGAAATTAAAACCAAAAGGGGACAAGTCGCTGAGGGATTCAATAGCTGATAAAAAAATAAGTATATTAGAAGAAAAGTTGCGAGCAATAGAAAATTAGTTTTTATGGTTCCGTAGATGCTGCTGGGCTCTGTTTAGTCTGAAATATTGTTATTCTTTCAAAGTTCAAGGTACCAGAGTTTGAGAAATATGATGATACTAAGTGTCCAAAGACTCATATTACCATGTATTATCAAAAAATGACTGCCCATACTTATGAGGAGAAGCTATTAATGCATGTATTTTAAGACAGCCTTATTGGCTCTACTGCTATGTAGTATATCCAATTGGACAGGATCCGTCTTCGTTTTTAAAGTGATATGGCCCATGACTTCATTAGTTAATACCAACATATCATAGATTTAGCTTTTGATCATTTGTCTTTGCAAAATATGAAGAAAAAAGTAACTGAATCATTTAAGGAGTATGCTAAAAGTGGAAGGATATAGCTACTCAAGTGCAACCTCTTCTAACTGAAAAAGAGACCACAGTGTTATTTGTCAGCACTTTAAAATCTCCTTATTATGAAAAGAGGATAGCGAATATAATCAAAAATTTTGTTGCTTTGAAAAACAACAGTTCAAGGGATATCAACCTTATCCACCACAAGACTATTCTCCATACTACCCAACAGTGAATAATGCTTCCCCTTACCCATATCAACCAATCCTATAACCATCATATCCATCAACATATCAACCCACTTTCAGACCTCAAACTGTCACATACAATCCTAATGCTCAACTTCCCCCAATACCTCAGACCCATTCTACTAACCCAACAAGTGGTTCACGAAAACAACAAACTATTCGTGAAAAACCCATATTTGACACAATCCCTATGATATATACGGAGTTATATCAAAAGCTTTACAACAACCACTTAATTGCTCATAGCCGATTATAGCCATTTAAGCTACTTTACTCCAAGTGGTATGATCCTACAGCCCATTGTGACTATCACGATGAAATTATTGATCATTTTGCTAAGAATTACACTACTTTGAAACACAAAATGCAACGATTAATCAAAGATGAAATAATCAACTTTGATACAAAAGAGGTAACCACACCTAATATTAGTGGCATTTCTTTGCCTAACCACAATGTGAATGCTATAAGTGAAGATCAAAAACGTTATCTGAAAAAAAAAGTGACAAAAACCAAGACACCTCTCAGTCAGTTATTTGATACCTTATGAAAAGCTGACATGATATAGCCAGTGAGTCCACACAGTTATCATGAAAAATATGTATCAAATAGCATCTGTAAATATCATAGTGAGGCATCTAGCCATTCTATCGAAACCT